AATATCCAAAAGTAAAAACTTGAAAGCAAGAACTTTGTAGCTGGTAAAAACATGTTTCGTAATTATGTCTAAGTCTATGTTCATATTTATAGATATATTCCTGACATGCTTGGTTATATGTACTGTTGTATGCAAAATATGTTTTGTACCCAGTAATAATAATAATAATAATAATAATAATATTAACTTCTTAGCTTCTGCAGCATCCCCCTTATATCCTGTGGATTTCCCAGAAAAAGCCAATGTCTTAGAGTAGCAAACCACAAGAGTATTAAACAAAAGAACTTAATAAGACAAAAGAATTTAATAAGAAGAAACCTTTTCAATGTTGACTACATGGCCCATATTGGCCTTGAATGTTAGTGTTAGTTTCACATCGCCAGATTTCAGCATTAAGTCGGGTCTGGTTTGCAACTTATCCTGGCCAAAAAAAACCCCCAAAAAAACGCCCACTTGGGACAGAAAAAATCTCTGACACCCACATAAAAACCAATGACAATTTCTTTAGGTGTGGGTTTAGTTTAGACTTCCCTGTGCAATGGTCCGTGCAAGACTGAGGGCGTTCATGTGGTACTACATTAAAAACCTTAACTTAAAACAAGACGTGATGTTTGCGTTTCTCTTAACTCTTAAAGTAGCACAGGGGATTGTTCTAACAAGATGCCTCAAGCTTATCCTGGCCAAACAAACCAAACAATAGGCCAATGAACACAACATGCATGCCAGAAAACAAACAAAACCCCTGATTTGGGCCACACAATGGCCTTGGTAAGAAAGATGGATTACACAGCAGTATACAAATCTAAGGGTTCTTTTCTTGTACATTTTATGACCTTCATCCGTTGGGATGTTACAATAGCACCACAAAACAAACCTCAAGAGGATGATTGGGATGGAGTGTATGTGTGCTGCTTATTATACGGCTACTTGGCAAATGAGTAAACATGAAACAGACATGAAGCATTCATTTGAGTTTAAATGACTTTTATTAGTGTGATACTGTATAATTATATATCAGTTATACGGCTTAGCCATTGTGGGGCTGTCCGATTCGGTAACACCAGAATATTGACCAATTCTCACTATTAACTAGTTGCTTATTAGCATGCCTATTGGCTGTTTATTAGTACTTATAAAGCTAATATTCTGCATGGACATATTCAACAATACCTAAACTTAACAACTACCTTACTAACTATTAATAAGCAGCAAATTAGGAGTTTGTTGAGGCAGAAGTCGTAGTTAATGGTTTTTTAATAGCAACAACTGGACCTAAAAAATAAAGTGTGATCTGTGATTCATTGAATTTTAGCTTCAGCTATTTTGCCTTCCAACAATAATGTAAGTACGATAATCAAGATAAAACGATTAATGTGCCGCACTGCATCCAAATCAGTCAAATTATGTAATGTGACTGTCAAAAAATTGCAGTCTAGTGTGTGATGTGCTTGATATAAAAAGAGTTAAAAAAATATAATATTTAGATTAAATTAGATTAAATATATTTATTCAGTTTTAAAGTGACAGCAGCCTAATATACTTGCTGCACAAGAACAAGAAATAAATCACTCACTGCTCTTGACTGAATAACTTTAGTAGCTTTAATAAGACTAAATGTGTATTTAATTCATACAGTGAAAACTATGGAGTGTTTTACTTTTACATTTAGTAGGCTTTTAACTGAATACTGTACTGTTAGTTTGACTTGAACAAAAAAACATAAAGAATTGTTTATTTTATTTGAATTTTTTCTATTGTATTTGTTCTATTCTTTGTCATTTTATTATTCTTAAATTATTAATGACTTTTTACTTGTCTTCAATAATTGTTTCAGGACTTTTTTTTACATTACACACTCATTAGTTAGCCTAGAATTAGTCTCCGCTATGGTAACTGGTGTGTGTGTGTGTGTGTGTGTGTGTGTGTGTGTATAAGATGCACATAATTGGTGTGCATGTGCGATCAAAATAAAAATACGATGGGTTCATACCGCTCATTTGCGTACTGATATGTTTAACAGCTGTTTATACACAATCACCGTTTTAGATCGACTAACTGTAATACTGTATAAGATTTCCATTTGAACTGAAAGTATAAATCTAGGTTACTGTATGTGCTGCCGTTTTGCTCATAGCAAAATGCAAAACTGTGACATTTCATTTCATTCACTGACATGCAACCCGCCAAAATAAAAGCTTGAAAGCATAAAAATAATAAATAATAAAATTTATTATGAAAAAAAAACACGTATGGACTCACATAAGCATGAAAAAAGTGCAATTTATTTTTATTTATTTCGTGGTGTGTGTGAAAAAGCTATTGTTAATTTGAAAGAACTGTTGGTAATTTTGTTGCAACACAGTAGATAAAAACAGGATGATGCAGAAACTCACTAAGTACTGTATGTAACAAGCTTGGCCTTGTGTTGACTCGACTTTGCCCTCGGCTAGAACACTTATAAGCTCTCTATTCTGAAGCTGAATGTCTGTGTAAAGTCACATCCATTTAACAGGGTGTGGAATAATAATGGGCATGACATCATTTGTGTGGTAATGATTAATACAGTGATGTTTAGGTAAGAAGCTACACATTTTCTCTGTATTTGTTATGTTCTGAAGTGTATCTGATGTTGACCTTTTTTAAAGCGCAGTCATAAATCAATGATAAAAGATAATGTTATTTCAAAGGTGAGGATGCAGAATTATACTATCATTGGTAGCTGAAACCAAATCAAACTGGCCAAAACATGACTTCTGCAGAAGCATCCTGAGCAGATTCAGACCTTGTTCTGTCAGGTGACCTGATAAAGGAGTCACAGTTTGTAAGTATTTATGACTGTTCTGGTTAATCTTAAACCTTTGATCCAATACCCTCTTTTCCCAAGCCAGGTTCTTCTCTTTTCCATATGTTTGTATGCTTTTGTCTATGATTCAAAGGAAATGTACATGTCATCTTGCAGACCGTCAGCTCCACAAGTTGTTGTTTTTTCTTTCACACCTGTATTTTTTCATAAGCCAATTAAATAAAATAAAATAAATGGAAAGCTGCAGTTTTACATGCAGTGAGCATGAGGTAGAAATGAGGTAGGAAGAATCAACCAATGAAAAGCCCAAGGCTGTTTGTCATGGAGTATTATTCACTTGCTCTGCATATGTGACACACATCAACTCCTTTTTTAACACACAGCACTATTAAGTATTAAACAGGACCATCTGTCAAACATATGTTTGTTATTCATGAAAAGTCTAAATGCTTTACTTCAACTTCGAAGAATAGATACATATTTTATTATTTTTGTATGTGAAGCCTTTGAATAGCCCCTACATTTGATCTTTCCCTATTCCACACGGCTCTCCCTACATGTGATAAAGCACATATAGTCCTACTGTACTCAGAAGTTGGACATGATTGCACATCACGTCATCTACAAATACATCTGCTACTAATATTCCATATAGCATTATGCTAACAACGTGAATAAAACAGTCTAATTTTCTCCAATATGTTCATTGCCTTCAGGAATTGGTTAGGAAATCTATATTACCGTTCCAAATCTCATACTGTAAAGCAACATATTAATTTTGACTTTCTGCCAATTGGATAGTTGTTTGGAAAAATAAATGCGGTGAAGAGTTGAGGTCAAGGAAAATGGATATGAACAGTGTCGACTTTATCTTTATGTTTTGACTGATGTTTGCAATGTTGAAACTGTTGAAAAAGGTGAGGGTTATGCATGTAGGGTTTGGCTGCTTTACCAAACTAAAGAGATGTATTTTTTTCTCAAGTTAGATTGCTCATGTTGGTTAAATGTGAGCACCGCTGACCATTTTGTTTGTCTGATTTACAAGTATTGTCTGGAGTAGGCTACAAGTAATAGTGTATATGATGCCACACTAAATGGAAAAAAACAAAGGCACATACAATGACCTTATGCATCAGAGAAACAAGTGTAATGCCATCTTTAGAATTTTGTCTTTAAACTTCCTTTTTGTGGTAGCTCTATTGCATGGCTGTTTAAGAGTAGCCTAATTAACTAGTGAAGTGGATTTACGTAGGCCTATTTAAGAGTTAACGAAAGTTATCATGATGGGCATTGTAATGTTCGAAGCAGATGTCATAACAATGTCATTCATAAATTCGTACGAGCTTACCTTCAGGCTGTGAAAATACAAACGCTAAAAAGGGGCGGAGCTACACTTCTAAACAATTCAAAAGTTTTTTTTTATGTGAAGATCATTTTAAAAAAAATCTAAGAAAAAGAGAAACAAAAAAAATCTAAAACGAATATTTTTCCATTATAAAGAACCTTTTGTGGAATTCATGGAACCACAGATGCCAACAAAGAACAAAGAAATTGAGCTGTTTTGTTGTGAGATAAATAAGCCCATTTGGGTCCCAGTTGGCTTTCTTTCTCGCTCTAACAAGTTTTCATTGCGTATGATGTTGTGTTAATTTGCATATGCACTGAATTAATTGTGTGTTCTGTTGCACTGAAGCCTTAGAGAAGAAAATTTGTTTTGTTCTTAACTTGTTTACTGTGTTTGGGAAATATCACATTCATAAATGTCGATGGGCCAAAAGTACACCTAGTTTTGTGCAATTTAAGTTTGAGCTTTGTCAAGTGCTAAGGCCAAAAAGACTATGGATTGTTGTAAAGCCTTGAAATGTTATCCTTTTTAAGGATTCTCATATTTATTTTGTAATTATTGATAAGGGCTTGTTTCAATACCCCTCTGTATATAGTTCTTCATTTTTGTGTTGTTTATTAAGCAGTGTTTTGTTTTGTTTATTATTATTTTTAATATTTTTATTGATTTCTTGCTGTTATTATTTTTACACATGGCGTGTGAGTTGTTACTAGATCAAGTTAAAAAAAAAAAAAAGGTTGTGTTGTAGTGGGTGGGTTGTGAAGCTGTGTATGGTTGTCATAGCGGCGCTGTTCCTCCCCTGAAGCCTAAGCGCTGCTGGGAGTTGCTCCTCCTCACTCGACAGCACTAGTTTTATTTAAAGAGTGAATGAGGAGAGCGCAGTTTTTCAGCTGAGGATACTGTCTGAATCAAATATGTCTCACACTGTGACTCTCACCGGTCCCTCGCCGTGGGGTTTTCGTCTGGTGGGCGGACGGGACTTCAGCGCACCGCTCACCATTTCAAGAGTACGTCTTTATTCTTCTCTTTAATTATGAACTTTTTTTTTTTTTACAATGCAATGGAGGCGAGGGCCTCTTTACACCCGGCGTGCTATTTCACTGTAAATATGTAACTTTCAATTTTTGGTTTACGTCTCTAAAGATAGATGAACTACTTCACAACTCTTGTTTTGCGTTGTATGTTGTGTCGGTTCTGTTACAGTAGTAACAGACTACTACTGCTATTGTTTAGTTTTTTTGACATACTAGTGTCAAAAGTTTTTACAGAGGGAATTTTGGGTATCTAATTTTTGCCACTCCATAATTCATAAAATGCTTAGAACGGACAGAAAACACTATATTTTCACAATTATTTGGGGAATAAAATGTTGTATATAATCAAGCAAATTCTATATTAAATTTCACATGATTTTGTTGTTCACACCGCTGTGTCAAGCAAACATATTGATCAGAAGTTGCTCTTTTATGCTCATTAAACATTAAACTTAAGTTCTTCGTTTGGTTTCATTGAAATATAAACAACGTCATCTTCAAAAATCTCTTCAGAGAAATAAGAGGAGAAACATCAAGAGAGCTGTTGACTTACAGTTTGAGCATATAGCTGTAAAATTAATAGCACCCGTCAGATGATTTGATCTTGGAAGAATCTAAACATAGACGTGTTTGAGTTCATATTAAGATCTCTTACAATTTGGGCTGAGGAGTTGAGAGATTTAGGAGAAAAATGTAAAAAGCAAGAGACTTAAAGGGAAAGTATACCCCAAACTGTAAATACTCACTGTAAAGCTATTCCAAACCTGTACGAGTTTCTTTCTTCTGCTGAGCACTTAAGGAGATATTTTGAAGAATGTTCATAACCAAACAGCTGACGGTGGCCATTGACTTCCATAGTATAATTTTGCATCAACTTTTTAGTTACCCACTTTCTTCAAGATATCTACTTTTGTGTTCAACTGAAGACAAAACAGGTTTGGAACAACATGAAGATGAGTAAATACTGACAGAATTTTGATTTTTGGCCAAACTGTCACTTTATGAAGAGATCACATTTAAGATATTTCAGAGATCGCCTTTGTGATTTTCACATTTCTTTGGGCACTGACTTCGATGCTTTTCAAATGAATGAAAAGCTGAATCATGCTGGACAAACCCTATCATTTACTGCATATCTGTGGTCAGTAAATGCTTGTGCCAGAAGAAATCTTATTCAGCTGCCTTCCACTTACATTGCTTTAGAAAAGCGGCAGCTGGTTTTCACCAATTAATATTTACAGCCAGCCGGGGCTTTATCTGTGGTATGAAGTGGTCATGGATGTTTAGTCTACTCCATCCATCCATCCATCCACCCGTTCAGTGGATGAATGGATGGAGTGGATGCAGGTACAGTTTTCTAGCTGTTTGTTAGAGCTAATAAAAATCCAGATGCAGATACTATACAAATAAAATAACCCCTAGCCAGAGTAAGAACCTTGCGTTGAATGCTTTTGATGTTGTGCAGGCCAAAGAAACATCTGCAACTTGTAAAGATAGCAGCTTGATCGTACTGAAAGCTGCTGAAAGGCTCATCAGCACCACAGGTTTGAGCATGAAACTGGTAAAGTAGAGGCTCGGCTTCGGATATTTTGTGTTCACGTCCTGTGATGGTTTCCATCTGGCACTGGGGATAGACTTCCCAGTAAATGCTGAGATGAATAGGTCAGCCACAGGTTTTGTTACGGAAAGTGTTAAGTTGTCCGCTGGCAATCCAGAATCAGAATGGAAAACCTCCAAATGGAATGAGGTAACAGTTTAAACACAACCCAAGATGCAATTTTAGTAAAATGAGTGTGGACAGCTGATTCAGATAAAGTGGCAGATGCATTGGTAATATGGAGATGTTGTGTTGAAATCTGCAGTTACAATAGCCATAGGGTCTCCACAACCTTGTTGTAAAATGCTTCGCTTCTGGGCTAATGAGTTGAACATTTGGTGTTTTCCTGGTGAATGTGAGAGCGGTGAGGTAAAAGCTGACTGAATCACTGCCAAGCGCAATACATAACAAATTGTCAGCACTTGTCCAGACAAACGTGGCCATCCATTCACAGGAATTCACAGCCCCGTGTCACACAGAAGGCAGAATGGAGCAATGCTTTATACTCTTCACTACAAAATAACTGAAAAGATCTGAATCTCATTTTCATTCCTATGATAAACCCAAAATTGTCCGAACAGGTTAAGCATGCACCATCTTATAAACATATTTACTCTGTTAATCTTCAGTGTCTGGCAAGTATCCCTTGGGGATTTCACAAGGCTAATTTATTGCATCCAGGGCCTTCCTCTTGTTATTGCTCTGTAAGGGCATGCAGTAATGCTGGCATGCTGCAGCTCATTGTCCACAGCCCTGCATTCGTAGCACAGCCACATTCCAGGAAGCCATGTGATATTATTCAAAAAGTAGCAAATAGGAGATTTTCAAGCACAGGACTCATCAAAGTTCACAATTGTTCAGCGTCATGGGCGTTTTGCCATGCAACACTGTTAAAGTTGAGTGTCTGTTCAAATGCTCTATACAACTGGTCGGTTGCATCTAAAAAAAAAAATGGGTCGCTGCTCTATTCTGACAGGGTCATGGACGGTAGGGAAAAAACAATGCTTAAATGCTAAGGATTGTCTAATCAAACAATGCTTGTCCAAAAAAACTCGTTATTTCAGTGTGAATTCATCTGATGGTAGGTAGAAGCTAGGCAGATGCCAGCACTGACAGGTTGCGTGACGAGCCCCCATCCTTGAAAAACAATACAAAAGAACAAACGTTCAAGAAAATATGTTCCAGTTTACAATAAACACGGGTCGAGTTGCAACAAAGATAAACATGGTTCGGGCTGACCACAACGAAAGCATGATTCACTGTTGCATGGCAAGCATATTCGTAATTTGTTGGGACTTCAGTGTAAAATCTGGATCCTGAAGCTAAACCGGTTTAGAACAGTGGCTCTATACTAAATTGTTTTTTGGAACTTTGTGTCATACTGTGTTTATCACAAATGAAAAAAGCGTTTGGTCTGGAAGGATAAAAAATAAGCAGTTATACAGTGAAGGCTTGTGAAACATTCAGGATAGGTTGTTGTAAACCGCTTATGACATTGTGGTACTGGGTACCATTTTTGACTCTTTATATCCAATTTTCAGTGAGTGTTCAGTGAACAAAGTACACATTTTCAGCAACCTAGTATACATGGTTTTTCATATTCCCATTATAATCATTAAACATTTTAAGGGATATATAACACATATTTTTATTTTGACAACTAACCCATCCTTTCTCCTCATCATTCTCTCTACATTGTCAAGCTCTGATAATGTATTTCCAATGTTTTTCTCTGTAAAGCTAAGCTTTTTGGCCAAAACAAACTTGATTTTTCTTAGAGCAATGTGAAAATTTTGCCTTCACACTCTCAGAAAAAAACAAAAGCTGTAACTCTGTGGTGGTACTTCTTCAATAGATACACTTTTGTACCTTAGATACTAATATGTACCTTTAAGCTACCAATATGGATTCAAATGTGTACCTTTTGAAAAGGTCCTGCCCTAGTGACAGCTTTTGTACCTTTTTTTCTGAGAGTGCACAAACTCTCCAGTGAGTTCACATCACATAAATTGTTCTCTGTAACTAGTCATTTTCTGGGCAGGATAAACCAAGATGTTCTAAGATAAAACACCATGTGTCTTAGTGTGACTCAGGACAGTCACACATGGCAGTGAAGCTTGTGAAATGGGATGAATTAGTCTTATTAGTAGGTCAGGAGCTTCTGTTTGCAAAATATTTAGGGTTGTGCATATGTGCTTGGCTTATTATAGGCAGTTTGCTGATATAGTCACGTAGTTAATGACTTTTAGGTAGGCTAAATCCCACTGTAATAACAACAGCCCTCGGTGCTTGAGTCAAGTGTTCTGTACTTAGGAACAATTTCAGGCAATTTCCTGGCTTAACATCCAAAGTGGTCTTTTGTGCATTTGGAGGTCTTTGAATACTTCAACTTTATTGTATCTAAAGTGTGTATATATATAGTGGATCTTTAACAATAGTGACTGTATCTCAGTATCAATTTTTTTTAGCTTATTTTTATTTAATTTTACTAGGGCTGGGCAATATGGCCAAAAATATTATCACAATGTTTTTTTTTTCTCCTTATCATACGATATCAGTGTTTATCACAATAGTCATTTACTATTAAAGGGGAAGGAAATGCTTTCCACATGTTTGTTAGACCTTTAGATTGAATGTAAAGATATTTTGTTTGTTCACAATTATGATTTAATACAAATTTATCATAAAAACAATGGTGTCTACTTAAACAAATTCATAAAACTTTATCAGTTTAATCAGTCTTTTAAAATGTAATGAAATGAAGACATAATTTACAACAAAACGTTGCATCTTTATCAAATAATATGCTGTACTGTATAATTGTGTAAATCAAAAATGCCATGGTTGTATGATATTCCTTAAAATTATTATTATTATTATTATTATTATTACTTGAAAATACATTTTAGTATAGAATAGTAATATATTTCTGTCATAAATTCTTCAAGTTAAACTGGACTTTTATTTTGACAGGTTGTTGTGAAGGTCTTTCGGTTTCAGTGTAGTAGTTTTTCCTTGATAAAATGGTTAGCCTATTAGTGAGAAGCGCTGACTGGCTGTTGTCATACATTTTATCGAGACTCAGTATGATATCGTTTTATCGCCCAGCCGTAATTTTTACTATGCCAGGTTACAGAAGCAATTAACATTTTGCTGTAGATCAGAATGTTTTTTGATACCTGATTTCTACATGCATCCATTTTTTAAACAACTTGTCATTGTGGTAAGTGATTTCTACATGTAATGCTCTATTGTGAAACACTTCTTTTAACAAAGTAGAGTATAGATTTATAATATCAACCTTATATGACCGTTCCTTACTAACATAAAATGTATATCTAATGGTTAAAATAGCTATTTGCATTGCATCGCTAAGTATATTTTGATCCAGAGATCAAAAAATGGTGGCTGCTGTAAAACCTAATGACCAGTTTTATCCCCACAAACTGAACAGATAACTGATTTTAGTTTGTGAGATCTCAAAGCCAGTGACTGCTGGCAGGATGTGTGATAAGGGTAAGTGAGATGATATAATTACTGAAAATTGTTGTCATGTGTAGAGAACACGAGCAGCTGAAGTCTAACAAATAAATGATTTTTTGAAAGAATTCAGCCATTGTTTACTGTAATTGTTTAAAATACTTTTAAAAAAGAATGTTCGGTTCTTGCTTCTCGTGAAAACTGCTTGTCATTAAAACCATATCTAGATATATATTTATCAATAAAATCAAAAGAAAAAAAACAGAAACTTTGTTTTACATAGTTTCAATTATATGCCTTTTTATTTTTTTGAATAATTTGTATTACAAAGATCTTTGGCATTATGATGTTCCTTTTATGACTCATTATTTCCTTTTCTATTGTCAGAAAAAAAAAGTCTCTCATTACTGTAAATAATAAAATTTAAAAAATCCAACATAGGCTCATTGGAAAAACTTACCCATACTTACAAATCTACTGCAGTTTCCAGCTGAAATGGCAATAAAACACCTTTTAATCTTTTTAACACAACTTTTAATCCTTTCCACACAAATTATGGTTAATTGATTAATAAAGACGTTTTCCTTGCACAGTACTCTTATAATCTCAGAACACTTTTAGTGTACAATATAGTGCAGGGTACCAAAACATTTTTTGTCAGCAGATCCCCTTATAAGTAAAATATTTACTTGATATATCCTCTGGGATTTTAGGTTAATATTTTAATAATTTAATGAAACATTGAGTTCTCTAAAGAAAGTTAAATGATCACATGACATGCAAGTAAACAGATAAAATATTTAATCTTTTTTTTTTTTTTTTAGCAAATTTTGTTATTATTTTATAAAATATTTAAATAAAAATTACTATTAGTGGTAGTAGCAGTAGTAGTAGTAATAGAATGTTTTAATACTAATAATAAAACCGTAAAATAAGTAAAACCGAAATAAAGTAAAAATGCAAAGTAAAAATTGAACATTTGATAATATTTACAAGAATTTTATTTTACACTACAATACTAATGTTAATGTCTAAATTTCTTCACTTTCAAATATTCAAATCATCAAGTTTATAACAATTCAAATCCTTTAGCTTTTGTTTTGGCAGAATATTGGTGAAGTTCTGTTCACAAAAAAAAATATTGAAATCATGCATGAATCATGTAAATAAAGAGAACATGGTGCTTGCAATGCCAAGGTCATTGGTTTCATTCCCAGGTAATGCATAATATTCTTACACAGTACTTGCAGTACAGTATTAATGCTAATTTTAATAATAAAAAATGTGTTTTGACAAGATGTTTTTAATTGCTGAGTGGTAATGAAAATTTGTGTTCTTTTCACATTGCAATAACAATGTTGTGAATTATTTATGTATTTATTTATTGATTGATTGATGTTAGCAAAATACGTTTTTCCCCACATTAAAGTAATGAGAATTTAAGGGGAAATTTGGATCATTGTGCAATTTTTTTCCCCCTTTTTTGGGATGAAATGAATAATTTCTTTGTGAGATTTACGCTAAGCATAAAGAATTGAATAATGATAAGGTGCAAGGTCTTGCAACTCATAGAGTCAAAAAAGCTAACTAATCAAAGCTACAGTACCTATGCCTCATAAGCGTGGATGCGTCACATTGAATAGTCATTACATTTCACTTTAGTCAAGTGAGTGACTGACCAACTGTCATTGGTCTAGTTATCGGCTTTGTCTCACTGATGGTTTCCAGTCAGTCAGTAATAGTACCTGGCAGGTGCTGCAGTGTCTTGGGTGTGGTGCTTCCTTAACCTTTCTTTTGTTTGTCTTTTGTTAGATAACACCTGCGAGTAAAGCAGCGCTGGCCGATTTGTGCCCTGGAGACACCATCCTAGCCATCAATGGAGAAAGTACAGAGACCATGACACACATGGAGGCTCAGAACCGCATTAAAGCTTGCACAGATCAGCTCATGTTGGCCATCAGCAGGTAATCTGCCTTACTGTCCATACATTCACATGGAGGTACAAGAGCTGTCACTGGGGCGGTACCTTGTGTACGCTATTGTGCTTTATTAACCCCTGAATGGTGTATATTAGTACCTAAAGTGTACATTTTAGTACCTAGATGGAATATCGTAGTACCTTTTGAAAGGATACTGCCATAGTGGCAGCTTTTGTATTACTCACCCTCATGTTGTTCCAAACCTGTGAGACCTTCGTTCATCTTCGGAAAACAAATCCGAGAGTTTTCTGACTCTCCATAGACAGCAAGGCTACTACCACGGTCAAGGCACAGAAACGTAGTAAGGACATCGATAAAATAGTCCATGTGACATCAGTGGTTCAACCGTAATTTTATGAAGCTATGAGAATACTTTTTGTGCGCAAAGAAAACAAAAATAATGACTTTATTCAACGATTTCGTCTCTTCTCTACTTCCGGGTCAGTCTGCCGCCATTCACGACAGTAACACGACGCATGCGTGTGATGCAGGTCTGACATGGAACATGCATGCAAATGGTGGTGGAGACTGACCCAGAAGAGAAGAAATTGTTGAATAAAGTTGTTATTTTTGTATGAGACTACTGATATAAACGTCTAGTATTTTATATATACAATAAGCAAATTAATTGCAACATATAGGGCAAATCACACGCATGCGTCGTGTTACTGTCGTGAATGGTTCCTGTGTCTGTTTGCCTCTTTAAGAAGAATCGCTTTATGTATCCCCCAATTGTAAGTCGTTTTGGATAAAAGCGTCTGCTAAATGACTAAATGTAAATGTAAATGTAAAGGGGGAAAAAGTGGAGATAAGGTTAGAAAGCATGAAGCTTGCGAATGCCAGAATGTCAGTCTGTCGGTCAAGTCCAAAGCAAGACGCAACACGTTATGACAACAACATTTAAGTCAACATTAATTTTAGATGAAAGTAAACGGTAAATAAATGACTTTTGAGTGATTTGTTACTAAAGTGTGCATCAAATACACTAAACATGGAAGCTTGAACGTGTGTGAGGTGCTAGAACAGATCTCATTGGTTCTTACACGTCATGCATGGCGGTTGGCAAAGCTTCTGGAAGGTGCATACCGCCACCTACTGCATGACAGCTGATGTAAAATAACGATCAGACTTAGGAGAGCCGATACCGATCAGTTTAAAAAATGTTTAATCGTTCGGGACATCCCTATAATATACACGCCGTGGTTCAGCTGCGAGCTACAAACACTACCAGTGTGAAAGAACAATGAGCATGTGCTGCTTCTGCGCTGTTTCCGCTCTGCTTACGCATCCAGTATGAAACGGCCACTTTTCATTGATTTTCACATCTCATTTTAATCGTGACAGTCGTAATAAATTATGTTTAATTGTTCAACCCCCTTATCTTGAGCTTGAGGGGTAATTTTGTTCATTTATTTGGTGCATTTATGCCCCAAGCCCCTGTACAATTCTGACCCTGCTCTATAGTCAATTCTGTGTTGACAGAACAGAAACAAACTATGTGCTGATTTTTGTGTCCATTTTTATTCAACCACAGGAAACATTGAACATCATTCTCCTTAATGTGATAAAAGACAATCCTTTTCACACCAACAGAATTTTGTGTGTGAGTGTGAACTTAACCCAGAGGCATCATATGCTACATCATGCCATATTTGGTGTGTTTTCTCAGAGCGAGCTTCTCTTGTTATTTGGAAAAGCCCTGAACTCTTGGAAGACCTGCTCATATATCATCTTTCGACATTAAGTGGTACATTCACATAGGAGTAGTAAATTTACTTAAGGATACTCTGGGTTGTTTATACTCAGCATTCGACTGGGAACTTTAGAGACTCCTTTAGTTTTCCTCCACAGCTGATCACATTTCAAAACCTTCAGCCTAGCTTTTTTCACACCAGTAAATCTACATGACTAGAGTAACAACAGAATTCTACATTGTGTCAACATCTGATCTCTGCTGTCTTCATAGGTGTTTTTTATGGCCCGCATAGATGGCCCTGTGAAGGTCACGTGACAGCATTGTAAATGCAAAAACATGGCCCCCCGTATCTATTGGTATGTGACCTTTAGCATATGCCAATGAGTCATTTGTATTAGTCTGTGCTTTTGAAATGAGATGTGCGCTGGCACGATAAGCACCGTTTCATTCCAGTGTACATGGATGTACTGGAGCAGGGTGGGGAAACTGATTACAGACTGCAGATTCTGTTTTCCGTGTGTTTGGATGGAAATACTTAAAACATGCCACCCAGAGTCATATTGAATCATATTCTTCTTGAGACTTTGTATTAAACATATATTCAAATCAAAAACAATAAAGTTATGTTATGCAAATATTATGCACATTTGTGGAAACTGTATAGAACTACTGTAGGGGTTTGTGTCACACTATTATGTGTAGATGGAAGAAATCAAGCAAATCATATGTTAGTTGCTGTTTCAGTTGGGAGATGCATAGATGATAAATAAAATAAAAAAAAGAGTGACACATTATAAATAAGCCAATTCAGGTGTAACCAGAGAATGTGCTGCCACTTCGAAAAACAAAACTTCTACTGTATAACCCATGTTAAAAAAGCAGGTTCTACCAGTTAAATCAACTGTGCATGTCAGTTTAGATTCAAGAATAAGATTTAAGATTCAGGAGAAATCATTACTGGATTATTCTCAGTAAACTGTGTCATTTGTGCCAAAGGGAAGTTTTTATTTTTACTTTCAAGAAATCATATTTTCCCACCAGGGTTACAACTGCCATATACCACCATATACAGTATATGTGCCCCCCATAACATTTAGAGTACAAGTCAACAAATATGAGTTTTTCACTGGTTGGTTGTTAAACTACTACCTATAATGCTAAAATGTGGTTATAACCTGGTCAAGTATCAACAGTTTTTTTTATAACTAGCCCCTATGTTATTTTAGCCCTGTCACAGCAAGACTGGAATTTATGTGCTTATGGAGTGACTTGAATAAATAACTGATTACACTGTGGTAGTATTACAATCAGTGTTGGGGATAACGCATTAAATGTAACACGAGTTACGTAATCAGATTACTTTTTTCAAGTAACTAGTAAAGTAACACCTTACTTTTAAATTTACAAAGAAATAATCTGACAAAGAATACAAAGAATAATATGTTTTCACATTTATTTACTGACACCTCTCCTGTCCCTGTGTTGAGAGAAATTGGGAGTGAGGTGCAGAGGCAGAAAGTCTTCCTTCAGCCGGAGGCTTATTAATTTCACTTTTGGCGTGAAAGGGCCTTTACAGTCACCAAAAATATAACTTTTGGGTCTTTTTTTGTTATTAAAAAACAAATAAGCAAGCCCAGCCCAGGTGACAAAAAGTAACCCAAAACTTATATAATGCATTACTTTCCATAAAAAGTAACTAAGTATTGTGATTAGTTACTTTTTTATGGAGTAATGCAATATGGTAATGCATTGCTTTTAAAAGTAACTTTCCCCAACACTGATTACAATTATTAATTTTTGGTGTGCCTTGTAATAAATCACAGGTTATCATTCAAAATGTACATGGTTGAGCATTATGGGGATGAACTTCTGCGTAAAATAGCTTCACATTATCGACAGTCATGCAGTCTTCTTGCTTTTTATTTGTGCTGGTGGTGATGAAATGGGGACCTGTAAATAATATTCAGATGAAAAAAAAAATGAATCTTTAAAAAAGTTTAACGTTACATACTTAACAATCACATATTTGAAATAATGTGATTAAATTTAATCAGTGTGACATACACCACATACACATGGCTCTGTTTATAATAATTACTACCGTAATAAGTAATTGATTTATGCCACATGATGTTTGCTTTACCGTATTTGTTCAGCCATAAATTCTAAAACAGAGGAATTTGTTGTCCAAACATGTCAGTGTTTGAGGAATGAGGCTGGAAATAACACACATATGCTGACCGTGTAAAATTAGAGCATCGCATTACAGCCAAAATGACCAGGAAAGCATGGGATTCTGAAGTAGAAGAGCATCTAGTACTTACATAAACATATTTGGTCACTGACTAAAGCAATTCCAGAAACCATTGTCTGGATGAGGTCATATATTCAGCTCTTTTGTTTTCAAGGGTCACATCATGATTGATCTCTCAGTGATGCAGGTTAGTAAAGGTCATGACCAGTGTTGGGAAGGTTACTTTGAAAATGTAATAGGTTACAGATTACAAGTTACCCTATTTAAAATGTAATAGTAGTGTAACTTTTTTAATTACTTTATTAAAGTAATGTAACTGATTACTTTTGATTACTTTTTGATTACTTTTCTAAATTTCTAATGAATGTTTTCAACTGTTAATCATTTTCAAACATTTACACCATGCAGGGTTAACCTTACAGCATGTGCTCAACAATGATTACTGTCAGACGTGCAGAATTCATTTGTCTTTTTGCGGCTTAATATTCACAGACACTATAGTCCATATTGCGTTTTGATTCAAGTGTACTGACCTACTTTTGATTTATTCGTCCAAAATGTGGCATATTCCTTGACATTCCGCGTAATAGGAGTTCCGTTTTTATGACTGGATTCTACAAACCACTCCGTGTTTTCCGCATCGCGGCCGTATGTCTCATATTTTAGAGTAGTCAGTGCAATTTGGGAAAGAAATCAATTCAATCTGAATGTGGACGCGTGTAAATATTCAAATGTAACCCCCTTTGTAATCGTTAACATTTTCATAAGTAACTGTAATTAAATTACACATTTTTTCTTAGTAACTGTAACTGATTACAGTTACATTTATTTTGTAATTAAATTACGTAACGCCGTTACATGTAACTAGTTACTCCCCAACACTGGTCATGACACACCAAGCTTATGGCCTGCATCTGGGCCAAAAAGTTGCACTTGAACACGTTGCAAAGACTACACCTAATGGCCAACTTACATATGGTCTGCGTCGGTATGCGAGGACTCCATGTGCAAGATAACTCTCCATACCTCCAGGTG